TTGACAGTGAGTTCTCCAGCAGTAGGTGAAAGTCTCACTTTTATGATACCGTTATGATTATGGTATAATCAATTACCTTAATTGAAGTAATCATCATCATTGTCACTATGGCATGGCACACACCCTACCCAAGGGCGTCTCTTTGTGTTGAAAAGTGGTACATTCACGGGCTCAGATTAGGGCTGTGACAAAACACTTAGCCCATGAGATGTGACATTGCACAAGATAGGGGTCATGAGTACAAGACAAGAGTATATTTTAATACTATTTACAAAACAATATTTATTGATGAAATATATGATTGGGGGGTCTGGGGGTTTCTCAACCCCAGAAGATTTTGAGCATGGAAAAACTTAATTTCCTTTTTGTTAAAAAGGGAAACCCGAAATTCTTTTGGCAGATGACAATCCAGAATATAAAATATAATAGAATGCAGTAATCAGTAGCTTATTACCATATTTTATTTACCAGGTTTTCTTATTGTGCAAATAAACCTTTCTTATTGCATTTTCATTTGTTGATTAACATTTCTTGGTGCAAGGTTTTTTTTTTTAATAACATTTTTAACAAATTCTTTAAAAAAAATGGTGGGGACAGCATCTGCCATTTCAAACAGGTTGAGCTACTCCATGCTTACGCTTCACCTCCACTCTCCTCCTGCTCTCTCTCTCCCTCGGCCCTGTCACAGTGACTCTGTTTCGCTCTGCCGCTGACATGCGCCTTCTCCTCTGCCTGGCAGTAGCAAACAGATCGGTTGTTTTTGCGCATTTGTGCGGCCTCTGTCTGAAAACTATTTTGATTTGGCCCACAGTGCAAGAAACAGAGGCCACAGGGGGAGGGGGTGGGGGCTAGTAAGACATGTGATTGGGCCAGCCAGTTTCAGTATAGAAATCCGCTGTCTGTGCTTTATGGGCCAGTCGTTGGACCATTTTTATTTTTATACACACACACACACACACACACACACACACACACACACACACACACACACACACACACACACACCAGTATAGCAAGGCTAATTCCTCGTATGAGAAAATGTTTTTGTCACCATCTACAAGGCGTGTAATGACAACATGGGGTGATTCTGTGTTTCCTCCCTGCAGGCAAGTTCATCATGAGTGCCTCCACTGACACAACCATCCACATCTGGGACCTGAAAGGAGAGGTACTGGCCTCTATCAACACTAACCAGATATCCAATTCTTATGCTGCCATCTCCCCATGTGGCAGGTCAGTCACACCCCTACATCACTGCAAATCTTCCACTCAAAACATCAAATAGTAATCTGTCAGATTTATGGTGGCTAAGAAAGTAGACATGTTTTTCTGTTTGATTTCTGTGCTTCAGATCGTACTCAAGACATATTTGCTTTTTTTTTTACACCTTCGCTACACATGCCACGAAGAAATGTGCTGGGCATTAAAGCCAGTTTGACATATAATGGGGCAGCTTTGGCTCAAAGGGCAGAGTGGCTGTGGCTTAGGGGGTAGAGTGGGCGTCTACTCGTCAGAAGGGCGGTGGTTCGATCTCCGGCTCCCCCCTGTCGTATATATACCTCATACTGTATAAACAACAGAAATACAAATAATGCAATCCTATATGTCTTAGCTGTAAATGTGTGTGCTGTCCATCTTTGTGCTTAGGTTTGTCGCATCATGTGGCTTCACTCCTGACGTGAAGGTGTGGGAGGTTTGCTTCGGAAAGGGAGGAGAGTTCAAAGAGGTGGTGCGAGCTTTTGACCTAAAGGGCCACTCTGCAGGAGTTCACGCATTCGCCTTTTCCAATGACTCTCACAGGTAATGAAGGCTTTTCTAGAAATCTGCCAACAAAGATTATATACACTGCTCAAAAACATTAAAGGGAACACTAAAATAAAACATCCTAGATCTGAATGAATGAAATAATCTCATTAAATACTCATTTCTTTACATAGTTGAATGTGCTGACAACAAAATCACACAAAAATTATCAATGGAAATCAAATCTATCAACCCATGGAGGTCTGGATTTGGAGTCACACTCAAAGTGGAAAACCAAACTACAGGCTGATCCAACTCTGATGTAATGTCCTTAAAACAAGTCAAAATGAGGCTCGGTAGTGTGTGTGGCCTCCACGTGCCTGTATGACCTCCCTACAACGCCTGGGCATGCTCCTGATGAGGTGGCGGATGGTCTCCTGAGGGATCTCCTCCCAGACCTGGACTAAAGCATCCGCCAACTCCTGGACAGTCTGTGGTGCAACGTGGTGTTGGTGGATGGAGCGAGACATGATGTCCCAGATGTGCTCCATTGGATTCAGGTCTGGGGAACGGGCGGGCCAGTCCATAGCATCAATGCCTTCCTCTTGCAGGAACTGCTGACACACTCCAGCCACATGAGGTCTAGCATTGTCTTTCATTAGGAGGAACCCAGGGCCAACCGCACCAGCAGATGGTCTCACAAGGGGTCTGAGGCTCTCATCTCGGTACCTAATGGCAGTCAGGCTACTACCTCTGGCGAGCACATGGAGGGCTGTGCGGCCCCCCAAAGAAATGCCACCCCACACCATTACTGACCCACCGCCAAACCGGTCATGCTGGAGGATATTGCAGGCAGCAGAACGTTCTCCACGGCATCTCCAGACTCTGTCACGTCTGTCACACGTGCTCAGTGTGAACCTGCTTTCATCTGTGAAGAGCACAGGGCGCCGGTGGCAAATTTGCCAATCTTGGTGTTCTCTGGCAAATGCCAAACGTCCTGCACGGTGTTGGGCTGTAAGCACAACCCCCACCTGTGGACGTCGGGCCCTCATACCACTATGTTTCTGACCGTTTGAGCAGAGACATGCACATTTGTGGCCTGCTGGAGGTTATTTTGCAGGGCTCTGGCAGTGCTCCTCCTGCTCCTCCTTGCACAAAGGCGGAGGTAGCGGTCCTAAGTGGACAGTTTATGACTCCAATGACTTGGAGTTACATTGTGTTGTTTAAGTGTTCCCTTTATTTTTTTGAGCAGTGTATTATGGTTTTACCGGTGGTTATGTGCAAGTCTCCTCTAAATGCCTGTCAACCTCACAGTGATGACGAGAGTCCAGAAAGTTACTGCTCTCAGCCAAGAAATAGTTGAGCACATAACCCCCTGTAAGACCCGAACTTTAAATGCAGGATTAAAGAAGAGGTACGACATGTTAGTAAGCTTGTGCTTTTAACATGCACTGGCATCAAATTCTTTTCTTTCTTTTCATTTGTCAGAATGGTGACTGTCTCCAAAGACGGCACATGGAAGCTGTGGAATACAGATGTGGAGTACAAAAAGCAGCAGGATCCCTACCTCCTGAAGACCGTCCCCTGTACGTCGTCCGAAGGTAGCCTGGTGGCCTTGTCTCCAGACGGCCGGGTGGTGGCCATCAGTGACGGCTCTAATGTTGCGATGTACAACGCGGCCAGCGGCCAGCTGGAGGAGGAGCTGCACGGCGTCCACAGCGGGGAGATAACTGATCTTAGATTTGACATTAACGGGCGCTTCTTGGTTTGCAGTGGCGACAAGGCCATCCGAGTGTTTCACAACGCCCCGGGCTACCGGGCAGCCATTAGAGACATGCAGGACATGCTGAAGAAGGCTCAGAATGAGGCCATGAAGCAGAGACTGCAGCAGCAGATCAAAGAGGCTCAGAGCGCCCTGGACACTGTGCTGGCCAGTCCCGTTGACTGAATGAGCCTCAAGAAACCGTGCTGTGATCGTGTTTGTGTCTGACTCTTATTGCTAATCTTTTTTGCAACTTCAGCTCTCCCTCTGCCATTAAATGATCTGGTCAGGGAAAAATAGAATTTGCATGCAGTTTTAATAAATATCTTTTTATGGAAAGAAAAATACAATGGTTTGAGTTCAGATCTTTTTCTCTCTTGTCCTTTTGTAATTTCATGTCCAATAAGGTCTTGTGTTCTCTTCTGTGGTTTTGTATTTGCCCTCTGCTGCTTCAACTTCCACAAACATATGTTGTGCTTATTGTTACTACACTTGGATGTTTCAGCTTAACTAGACAGAATGATGTTTGTGCAGAGTTTTCACATTCATCTGCTGAAGTGCGAACATTTTCTGTGCTGACCTTCAATTCAGTGTGTACATATGAATTCATAACTAGTTTGAATGTTTTTTTTTTAATTAGGTTATTCAACATTTTGTGTAAATACCACATCAGATTCAATTCTTACCAGTAGGGAGTTCAGAGTGTACAGTTTGTCCTGAAGGTGGCACTGCGCTAAGTCAGGTGCTCATCCCCTTATTTGAGGATTAATATACAGAGGGAACTTTATAGTCCCACAATTTGAAAGTGCAAATGTTCGCCTGTTGGTAGTCAGGGTGGTCAAGATCAGGGTGCACAGAAAAATCAGTAGTTTTCATGGAAACCTGTCCAGTATATAATTTGTCATAAACCAAAGTACGTACCAGTGATGGTTCAAAAGTTTAACTGAGAAGCAACTTCATTCCATTAACATAAAACAATATAACATACATTTGCAACATACAAATAAATACAATACAAAATATAAATAAAAGAATCTTAAATCCATATAAATAGATTAAACTACTAGAGGTTATTGATTTGGATGAACTGGCCATTTTTACATTAAACACACAAACCAGCTGTGGCACCTAGAGGCTGTAATCAAATATCTGATTCTAACAGTAAAAGAATAGTTCACCCAAATATCAGAATATTTCAGTATAATAACAGTAGTATAACAGTTGTATTTTTTTAACTGCTGCCACTTACAACAGACATGCCTTTTATTATTAGTTTGCTACTTTAGTAAACACACAGAAAAATATGTACTTATGTAACCGTGCAACAGAAAAGCTCTACTGAAAGACATTTGATATTTTGCCAATTATTATACTATCCCACCTTTTTGGTAAAATTCTAGTTATTGGTTCGTGTTCTGCATTGTTCAAGTTGTTAAATAAAGTTTTTGGGGAAAGAAAAAAAAACTGAAGCGTTGACCCGGAAGCTGTAGCTGCGCAGTGAGGCACGTTTTCCTCCTGCAGCAGCATGGACAGCAGTTTCTCCTGTGTGAGGAGATGTCTGTAGAGATGGTTGAGGTCTCAGTGAAAGCAGCCGAGCCGGTCCGCCCGGCCGGGATCCTGCAGCAGAACCGCGTCTTCCTCGATTTCTTCTGGGACTTGGCCAAACCGGATCAGGAGGTGCGACTGAAGGCCGTAGAAGACCTCATCCAGTACCTGAAAACCAACAACAAGGTGAGACAGACTCAGATCACTGTCACTGAGAGGCTGAATTTAAACCAGCATGGTAATCTTCTGAAGTCAGGATAGTAAATGTTGTACGTTATTGTAGTTAGTCTGCCAGGTAGTACTATATAAAGTAGTCATGTAAAGTTACTTAAGTAGAAGTATCAAAACTACACCATAAAAATTCCAAATTACAAGTAATGTTTTGCTTTCAAATTTTTACCTAACTAAAAGTTCAAGTATTGTCACCCTAATTTATCAAGTGAAATTATTCATTATGCTGCATAGGCCCTGTCAGTGTTATATTATAAACATGTTAACAGAAATTTAATGTTTTGGTGAAGTCATCAAATTTTTAATACCTTTATATAGTTTAATCAATAACAATACCTCATATTTTACAAGCTCACATAAGTTTATTATGTAAAATGTCAGAGTAACTACAGCTGTGAAATAAATGTAGTGGAGTATAGAGTACAATATAACAATAAATTGTATAGATATGATCAATATGTTGGTTGATAGCGTAACTTTTATGTTATTTTGTAAACTATTCGAACTGTGTTACTAACATAAATTCTATGTTATAGTTACAGTGCATTTAATATATAAAGTTTTTTTAAAAAGGCTGCACCGTTCGCAGTAGTATTTGTGCATCATGTTGTGGTGCTCTCTGTGTCCTGCAGGCAGATGAGCTGGATTACACCTTTAAAAGGCTTGTGGATGGACTGGCTCACACACGAGAGACTGCGAGACCTGGATTCAGCCTGGCGCTGGGACAGGTGAGAGGAGACGACTACCTAAACCACTTTAACCTAATGTAGCAGTGATTATGTTTCAGACCTTTGACTTGTATTTGTGGATTTCTGAAATGTGTGTGTGAAAAAATAATCTCGAGTAAGTGGACCTTTGAGTTGAGAATATTGTGTCACATACAGTTGAGATATCTACAAATACAAGTCAGTCAGAATTAAAACAAAATTTTGCAATTACTGCCTGATTAGCTCGACCAAAACATACAGGCGAGGCCAGTTTATTGCCGATACATCAGTGTTGCCGTATATATGTCAGTTTATAACGAGGAATTGCAGATTATAGTTTGTCCACCAGAGAGCACTGATAAGTTTATTTCTTTACTGTAAAATGTCTCTCTCAGTATATATCTGGGGCTTTACTCTTATCTAATTTAAGTGTAAAAATGATAACTTGTGGTGTAAAACCATAACATGTTGCTGTTACACTTTTGGTTTTTGTGCGGATTACATTAACGAGATCTAACGTGTAAATTAGTGAGCTTTAGAGGAGCTGGTAGGTGGTGTGTGTTACCTTTGGAGAGAGACAGGCTAGCTGTCACATATAGATATCTGTATCTGTCCCAAAGATCTAGTAACTTGTATTTTAATGAGTCTTGAATTCTGTGTAGAAATATGTGTTTGTCTGAAATGGATTTGCAGTGGATACAGAGCTACAAACCACAATTGATAATTTTTTTGCTGAAGAAGCGATGGCTTTGTAATAACTGAGCGAAGCAGAAAATAAGCCAAGCAGAAAATAATGAATAAAGAATACTTTGTGAAAATGAGTTTTTGTTTTTCAGGTCTTAAGTGCCTTTGAAGACGTCTCTCTGCAGAGTGTACTCAACAGAATCAAAGAAAAGCACAATTTGCAGACAGTGAAAAAGGTGGGTGTTTGACATTTTCTCTGTCGGCTCTGAACAAAAGCTAAATGAATCTGTGAATCTCAAGGTCTTTTTTTGTTTGTTTTTTAGAAACTCGTCAGAAATGCTTTGTTTGGAAACTTGTTTGGCGTCCTTGCCCTTCATCAGTCCAGCCGCCTCTCTAAAGTAAGTAGTCTCACCACGATTTATTGTTTTTAATGGACAGGTTCAGATTTGTGTGTTTTTAAATGGGGAGAGATCATAACTAAAACAAAACATCCACGGTTTGTAAACAGGCCTGACCCTGTTTCGTAACTATGAGTACTGTTGAGGTTCGATGAAGCACAGTTACACTTGACAAATGGGTATTTTCACAAAAGACATTTTGACATGTCACAGTAGGAAAATCACAGGTGTAAAAATAAAAATAATCATGATGGTTAAATTACATTTAGCTGCTTCAGTTTCAGGGCCCTGGTGTGCATGCTGCCTCACTATCATGGTTTACTGAGAAACTGGAATATAACAGAGATATCATTAATGCCAGCAGTTAACATGCTGTGCTTTTCCTGGTATGACAAGTCAAACTATATACAATACGAACTATGGTTTCCAACAAACTGTCACTGGGAAGCAGCTTTAAAGGGGATTCCACATATTTTACACATCAGTGTTTAACAGACACTGAAGCCTTATATTCGGGTATTAGCTGTATATGCATGATATAACATGTGATCCAAGGCCATAAATGTGTCCTTAATTTATTTTCAGACCTTTTTTTTTTCTTCAATCCACTTTCAGTGGTATTGTCATTATGGCATAAGTTATTCCTATAGTGCAGCTGAGTGATTTACTTTAAATAAACACCTTGATCTTGGAGGTAAACAGGGGTCCAGTAGCTTATTTCTGCCCCCCCAAGCAGATTTCGGTGTGGTATCATTGTGTGGTTTATGCTGTGTATAAAACTACTGCTGCAGACTCTAATGTGTGTGAAGGGTGGGTATGTGAGCTGTAGTGTAACATGTTGTTGTGTTTCTGCAGGAGCCACAGGTGGTGTTGGGCTGTGTGCAGCTCCTCCAGAGCCTCAGCCAGCAGAGACAACACCTGAAGGACCTGCCCACTAAGACCATGATGGACATTCTCAATGAGGTGACAACTGCTGCTTGGTTTTACCTTTTATAGCACAGGGGACATATCCATATAACCTTAATACATAAACATAGATAATGCTCAACAAGTTTTCATTTGATCTTTTATATAAGTCCTGAATTTCACTTTTAGTCATTTCATAAATTATTTTGTTTCTGCAAATTTAAAAAAACACATCCTTCTGTATTTTGCTAAAGCTAAAGTGTATGTCCTGTCCGTCAGATCCCAGAGGAGGTGTTTGAGGAGGTCTTGTTTAGCGCCCTGAAAACTGACCTGGCATCAGCCTTCAGCACCCCAGAGCAGCTGCAGCTGTTGCTGGTAGCTCTGCAACGGTTCCCGCAAACCCTCAAACCCAAGAAACTCAAGAAGCTGCTGGGGTCCTCGACCATCATCAATGCTGACAACATCCCCAAGTAGGAGGACTGTGATTGGCTTGATTTGGTTTTATGTTCCCCCTCCTCTGTCTCACACATGTCCGCTTTCTATCACTGTCTTTCTTTGTCTTTGCCTATATTAGCAGTTATTAATGTACGCCATATCAACGCATCATAGAATTATGCTAAATGTATGCACCAAATTTCCTCACTACACCTGCTAATTAACAGCTTTTGTGTGGAAAATCTAAGCAATTTGTGATGTTGTCTGGCAGGTTGACAGAGGTGTTGAAGATGGCAGCCCGCTCAGTGAAGAAGGAGTGTGTCCTCCCAGCAGTGGTCCTGGACCTACTGAAGCTCTCTCTGAAGGAAGACAGCTTCCAGCTCTTCTGGAATAACGCTATCATCAATGGCATGTTAAAGGAGCAGCCAGGGCCAGCTCAGTGAGTGAACAAGTGGTTAAGATTGATCCTAAAATACAGAGCTGAGGGCATTTTTGTTGACTTACCTTACATTAATTGCTAAGTTAACTTTTTGGTTTATCACTGTTTTCTGTCACTACTGCTATTGCTCCATTGTGCAGTCTTAAAGGGGTTCTATCCCATACACACAACACATTTTTAAGACTTCTTTTAAGCAGTAAGCTACTTACCAATGTGTTGATTTTAAGTTATTTTTAAATTTTGATGAATTCAATCGTAATGGTAATTGCTGCCTGCACCACTTGATTGCAAAAAACACAAACATCTACCTGTTAACAGTTTTCTTCCTTCAATATGGAACGGATGTTAATGTAGTTATTAATCCATACTGTAGTTAAGTTTTTTTATGGCCATCCGCAACTTTGTAAAAAAAACACAAAAAAAACCCCACCAAGGTACAGCCAAAGCAAGTACATTAAATGATTGTACTTGCAATGAATTATTAAGTAATGGGATGTTATTTTACAGACAAAATCATGTGAACTAGTTCACATATGATAGGATGCAACAGTTTATATTATTACTATTTGTCATTAGTGTTGATTTTACACTCAAACTTAAGTTCAAACTTACGATCAGCTGGTGCAACCGGCTGCAGGCTTTTATCTGAAAAGTAAATGAGTGTTTGGCAGACATGTTCACTGTTTCAAATTTATGAAGTGATGTTACCGTAGAACTTAAATTAATTGCCTGGGCTTTTATTTGCTTAAATCAATCGACAAACCCTGCCTATATTTGGGGCAGGCGTCTAATTGGGACAAGGCTTTTAATTGAAGGTTCACAGTATGTCAGTGTTGTGTTTTAAGCTTAGTGTGCTGCCTCCCAAGTGGCCAGAAAAATAAATTAATGCAGGTTCAAGTTTTACTGGTGCAACCCTATTTAGTAAATCACTAGTTTGAAACCAGCCAGTAGAATTTAGGATGTTCTTAATCTAAAATCTCCTGTAGGTGCTCACCTGACTTGTATAGAAGTATCAGTTCCACCATCATATTGTCCAGTTCTAGTTCAAGAGACCACATTCTGCTAATATGTCCCCCTGGTGTTGTCCTGTTTGTGTCCAGTTACCTGAGCTTCCGTCTGCTGGGCAGTGCCCTGCCTCTCCTGTCTGAAGCCCAACTGAAGGAGGTGTTGTCTGGAGAGGTGATGATGCACTACGGGGAACATGTAGTGTCAGCTCAGGTCAGTGGGCCCTTGTAGTTGACTATAAACAGCAGGTTACTCTTCAGCAGGGATGAACTAAGAAAACATTAAGAACTGATTTGTGTCCACATCCAATGACCCAAATAACCATAATATGTAGGTATGTTCAGTTCACAATATGGCCCAGTGTAATGTAAGAAACTGTTTACTGAGATGTTTAATTGGAGGTGCTGGGTGGAAAGCTCTGCCTTCATGTTTTAAGTTGTAAGTTGTAACTGATGGCTTTATTAATGTTAAATCGTTTACTTAAACAACTTTGAACAATTGGTGGGATGCCAGGTTGTGAAAAATCTCTGCAGCTACAAGTTTCAGTCATTAATAAAGATTCTTGCAACAACGCATCGCCTCAGCAATTGTAAATGTCAGTGAGTTGATGAAAAAACTGATTTTGGAACAGTCCAGCAGAGAAGTCTTGATGTCCTGATGGATTAAAGAGCTAAAATGCTGAATCAAATGTCTTGCTAGAGGAGGATGAATCATACATTATAGAGAGAGACTTTTCACAACCTGGCAACCCAGAAGTTGCATATAACAGATTTGTAAAGCATTGGTAAAGTATTTGTAACCATTATTAAAGCTTTGACTTACCGCTTATTCAAAGCGGAAAGTGGTACCTAAAGTTACAATCCATTTAATGTAGTTGTAGAGAGTTTGGTTTGTTGAGGTTGAGTGTTGTTTATGTATTTTTACCATAGTTTTTTAGAAATTTTGACGGTATCTGACAAAATTGCAAGTTCTCAGAAAAGCTTCTAAATTATTGTGACTATAACAGTATATTGAATTCAGATGTATATTTATGTTGGTTATTGTCACATCCCTGATTGGTCAGTATCTGACCTGCCTAAACCAGTGATCGTAGACATTAACAGCTGATTAATATGAATCTCATCCATTACTTTTCTCTCCCAGAAACCGGACCGTTTCAAGCTGGCCCCAGAGATGGACACCTACGTATCGGACTTCTTACAGGGCTGTCAGGACTCCGACAAACAGCTGGCAGTGATGGTGGGCTTCTCCTCACTGACCAACCAGGGCTACCCCGTGGTGCCGTCGGTGTGGAGGGTGGTGCAGCACCTTCAGCCTGCAGCTCTGCGGCACTACGTGGACTGGCTGAAGAAGACGTTCCTGCAACCTCAGCTTGACAAACTGCTGGACTTCAGCACTCGCAAGCAGAAGGGCAATCAGGAAGGACGGGAAGAGTAAGTGTACACACCTGTTGTATGTTTAGCAGCACGTTTATCTCTCAGCTCCGGTCCTGTCTTGTCTGGTGACCCTGAACAGGAAGCCGCAAGTTTGGAAACTGATACAATGTAACTGTTAAATGTCCTCCTTCAGAAAGGAAAACATATTCCGCCTGAGGAAGTGGATTGTTGCTCGTCTCGCTTCAATCATTGACAACCACCAAGTGAAGAGGCAGGAGGATCTCATCATGGATGTGGCCAGGTGAGACCCGCCTGTAGTTGAACAATGTCAGGGTTTCAGTGTTTGATGAAGAGGAGGCCATCAGCTGATCTTGTGTTGTTTCTTTCCTAGGTTTGTCTTTTTCCATGCTTTCTTCAGTGCCAAGAAGGCCTGGGCCGACATCCCAGAGACGGAGGGGAAGCTTTCTGTCCCACTGGATGATAAAACCAGAGGAGTGCTTGTCAATTCTTTCTTTGGGTGAGAGATTAAATCTTTTCTGCTGTTCTTAGACAACTGCCTCTGAAATATCAGCCGCTGATTACAGCCAATGTAGTTTATTCCTCTCAGCTTTGGTTAAAAATGTAAAGATGCCATTGGAAGATAGCGTTGGTGGACATCACAGGTAAGAAGAGGAAACCAGCTGTTAAGATACAACAAATAACCTTGAGCTTAATTGAAGTCACAATGTGTTTAAATACTTAACTACAGCTTTCACACCAGCCCAATTAATTTTACACAAACTGTGCAGTTTAGTATCCAGCTTAGGTGTGAAAAGCGCCCTAACATTAACACGTAACTGATTCACCAGATTTCAGTCTGGAAACCAGACAGCTTCTTCAGAAAAACAGCAGCAAACCACAAAAGGAATACAAATGTGACGGCATCACAGCCAGAATGGACCATGTTTTGTCCAAAGACCAAAAGGCTTTTCAGGTGTCTTGTGGTCACTGCTGCATCACTGATTTCTGTCTGTCCACCCTCCAGACTCCTCTTGTCCATGCACCATTTGCCCCTGACTGACGACTCGGCTGAAGGCTCGGCTGTCAACCAAAAGCGCGCGCTGGGTGTAACAGCCGACGGCACCATGTGGATCTACCACCTAGTCCAGTATGCCCAAGTCCTGCTTAACCAGCCAAAACACGTCCAGAGCAGCCAGCCCTTCAGCCCTGAGCAGAGACAGGCCTGGGACAGGTAGGACAACAGAATCTCCTCAGACTATGGCCTCTGTGATCCCAGAGCAGGAAGAAGATGGGATACAATTCTTCCTTTTCTTTTAAATTGGTTAAAATATTACAGCCACTCTCATGAATGTAGTTGCACAAGTTGAGGATAATTCAGTTTATTACAACTTGGATCTTATTTTCGTAATTTTGACCATCGATTTTTATTATTGTGACAGTGATTTTTTAAATTTACGTTCACTTTCGGGTTAAACGTATAAGACAGCTTAAGATGTGTTCCTGGCCATACAAGTGTATCTGTTTAATGAGTCCTACTAAATGAGGTAGGAATATGTTTGATAGCTCTGGCTCTACATGTGTATTCTTCCAGCATGCTGGAGTCGGTGGCAAATCTGAAGAAGAAAGCAAAGAAAGGCGCGAGTGCAGAGAGCGGCGCGTTCCAGCAGCTCTTCCTGTTGGTCGGCATGCACCTCTTCAAGGTACAGCATAATACCAGAGCCACGATATAGTAGTGCTGTTGTTATTGGATTATTGCAGCGTTGATACTGTAATTTAATTTCCTATCAACAAACACCGTCCTCTGACACAAAAACAAAACATCACCACGGACATGAGCTGAATCACAGCGAGATAATATTCTTGACTCTGAACACTATCATGAATGTATTTCCCTTGAAGGCCCCTGAAGAGCTGCTGGACATCATGAAGGACCTGCAGAGCTGTGTGGACAAAGCTTTGGAGAAGAAGGCCAAGAAAAAAAAGAAGAAACAAGGTGAGGCCTCATTCACAGTGATGATCCTGATGCCTCCGTCATTATCCTTTAGCATCTTAATGTTGCACCATATAGGTTTGCAGAAGAGACGAGCATCTCCATTAACTGAGATGCAACAGATCGGTCTTTCTTGACACTTGACAAATGTTTTTTTGTATAGACGGCATAGTATGGTATCATTTGTTAACTAATTGTTCATTCTTAAAAGCCAAGAATGAGCTTCCAAGCTCATATTCAGTTATTCACGTTTTCATAGAATATTCAAAAAGAAGGAATTAGTCATTTGATCAACTCTAAATCTAAAAATATTAATTAGTGCAGCTTTCACTGTGTTTATATGACAAGGGGTCACTTATATTGATAAATCCCTCAGCTGGACACAGTTTTGTAGCATCGTTAATCTCATTGTTTTGATTTTACAACTCCCAGCTTTTCTGTTTTTGGTTCACTTACTGCTCTCATTAGTGTCATGTTCAGACGAAGCTGTCAGCTCTGAAAACCCACTGTACGATACCTGCCCAGCATAAAACAGGAAACAGACACGGTTAGCGACTAGCGAGTGCATATAGTGGAACATTTAGGAACTAAAGAGACAGATACTTCCCTTAGGAGTTGGAGGAGACTAAAACAAGAGCCTAAAGGAGAGTGAATGTCAAACTTAATGATCCAAACTGTTGCTCCATGTCTGCTGGATGTGTAAAACTTTTGCTATCATGTTTGTCGTAACATTACATGACTGTGTTATAATATGCCAGATGTTTTGTTCTTACTGCTTTAAAAGTGTATGAATGTCTGTGTGTGTGCCTTTTCCTTGGTGCAGCCACAGAGCAGGAGGAGGAGCCTGAGTGGGTGGAGGTGATGGTGGACATTTTGTTGTCCCTGCTGTCCCAGCCGAGCCGACATATCAGACAAGTCTGCAAAACGGTCTTCACCTCCATCTGCCCCCATGTTACTGCTGCAGCTCTCACCGCCATCTTAGATGTAAGTAAGACTACAGGGTAATTCATTGTCGAACCCTAAAGAAAAGTAATTCTCAGCACCTGTTGTAGGTGATGTTTGTAAACATGTTTTTTACAGGTAGAAGTGGATCAAGATAGGTCTGTAGACTTTCATTTTAGTATGAAATTGGCCCAATAACAAGACAGCAGCGACCTGCTGTCAAAGGAAAATGGCAAAATGTGCAATAGTGCTGTGTGAATGTGTATTTCTGTTTCTGATGCATCATTATACGAATATGTGTGAATGTGATGGAGTGTAAAAGCGCTATAAAATGGTTGGTAGAAAGGCACTATACAAGTACAGATCATTTACAGTTTACCTTTGCAGAAACATCATGCAAAGGAAAATTACAATGTTTTACAACAAATATGTGGCCTTTCCATCTCTAAATACCATATCTGTATTTCCTGCAACAGCTGGGCACTATAGTTTTGTACGGAAGTTAAGGAGTAAATAGTGACAAAAATAATACAAAAACATTTAGGAACCACTGCTCTAGTGTGTATTTAAGGCAGCAGTAGAGTGTATGTGAAACTGACTCAGAATAAACTGCTGTGTGTGTGTGTGTGTGTGTGTGTGTGTGTGTGTGTGTGTGTGAGAGAGAGAGAGAGTATGTGTTGGTGTTTGTGTTGGGGCTGAACAATTAATCGAAATCGCAGCATGGCCAAGTGCAATATCCAAGTGGCAGGAGCTACAATTTTTTGATAAAGGTAAAATGTGTCACAACATACCATTATAAATGAAGCGTTGTGGTGCTACAGGGATGCGCCAGCTTACAATTCTTACATATTCTCCAGACGCAAGTGAAGGTGCTTGTTTGGTTCAGACCCTGGCAAGAACCACATAATCATCAACATTTATTATCATTATCTAGTTTTATAATAAGTGAAAATGAAATGTAAAAATGACCAAATTGTGACATATATCGCAATCGCATTATGATTTTTTAAATTTTTTATTTATGCCTATCGTTCATTCCTAGTGTGTATGTTCATGGGGAAGAAGGAACATGCCCCCCAGTGCAACAGTGTGGCCCATTGATGAGTTTTAGATAGTTGACGACAATGAAGCTCTATAGCACAGAGGAATAAGAGAGATTAGGCGTTGGATACACAAACACAATACTTCGTTAGTAGATCAGTTCATAGTTGGTTTTGGTTTTTATGTGGGGTTTGTTGAAAATAAGAAAAATGTGGAATATCACCACCTTACCGTCTAAAGACACTTTGTGACGTTGTTAAAATCCCAATATTTAAAATGGATGCATTTGTTTTATAACTACCTTAACACATAGACTGAGAGTGATTAGTTTGTTTAGTACCTATTTTATCTGATGAAGTGCTGTGTAGTTCTCTGTGGAGCTACAGTTGCAAAGACAAGTCTCAACATGGGAGTTTATAAAGAGGTGTGTGTGTGTGTGTGTGTGTGTGTTAAACACAGGTCTCTTGTATAAACATGCTGTTATCTTGCTGCCACTACGCTCTGTACCAGATCCCTATCAGATAATGAACAAATTTCTGGGTGCTTACTGCACAGATAATGCACTCTCAACTGTCTGTACTGTAAATAAGTGGTCTCTAACTGGATTCAAAGTCACTTAGGTCATGTGTGTTGCTCTGGAAGCTTTGTAAGTGGTTGTAGTGACGGTGATTTGGCCTCTGTGTAGGTTCTGGACCCAGAGAAGGATGATGAGGAGGACAGTGCTGTAGTCGTCACTGATGACAACAAAACCAAGAAACCCAATGAGGAAGATGACGAGGATGAGGAGATGGAGGTCAGTAATCCTCTGACTTTTTCACAACTTACTTTCTTTTGTCGTCTTATCAATAACATCATCTAATCGACTTGTATAAAATTCTACCCAGATCTGCCTTTTATTTACTGTGTCCTTTTTAATAAAAGCATTTGAAGATGCATTTGATACTGATATCCTAAAACACGTGGTGGTGTCTCTGTCAGGATGATGAGTCTGACGGATCAGATGATGAGGAGGATGAAGATGATGATGATGAAGATGATGACGATGATGCGATGGAGGAGGAAGAGGAGGATGTGGAAGAGGGAGAGGTGGATCAAAATTTCCGTTTGGAGCTGATGAAGGTCCTGCAGCAGCAGAATGCTCTGGTGGGTTTTCAGGCTTTCAGTGTGTAAGGGAATAACTCCCCTTATTATTTTAGCTAAACTTGACAGCATCATAGAGCTGCTAGCATGGCGGTAGATGCATCATTGTGGATGTGGTTTTTAGCAACATCTTCCCTTCAGTTGTCCAGTTTCAGCCTATATTTGATGTTTTAGTAATTAATATTGTAATACTGCTAGATTCATTTAGTCATGCCCTTGTTTCTTAGATATATATGATCCACCAGCAGCAACCGGACCACAGCAGACTGCAGCAGGAATGAGTTACATTGTGTTAAACTCCTCTGTTGTGCTGTATTTTCAGGCCACAGAGGAGGACGGCAGCAGTGATGAAGATCTGGATGATGAAGCCATGATGGAGCTGGATAAGGGCCTGTCAGCGCTGTTCTCGGAGCAGAAGAAAAAGAACCAGGCTAAGAAGGATGAAAAGACCAAACTACAGAAAGAGAAGACGCTGGTCCGAGACTTTAAGATCAAGGTACCTCAGGCTGTTGTCTTAGCTAGCTCCATTAAAAGTGAAAAAACACACCTTTCATCAACCTCAAAGTTGACTCCCTCCCTTTAATGACTTTTACTTATGTTGTAGGTGTTGGACCTGGTTGAGGTGTTTGTGGCCCGGCAGGCTGGCAGTCCTCTTGTACTGGGTTTAGTGGAGCCTCTGCTCACCATCATCGACAAAGGAATGAGCTCTGACACCCACCAGCAAGAGCAGGACTTCCTCCGCCGAGCTGCAGATATCTTCAGGTAACGCACTTTTAGCTGAGGACTGAGGCACTCTTCTTAGCAAAGTGCTAGAACAATTTGAGTCGGAACGATGGGAGGTTTTCCTGTTCTTCTTATTCAGATGACGCACTGAAAGGGAGGTGGTTTGAGCTAAATGAGGCAATTAGACCAGAACAGACGTTCCTGGCTTATTGTTTTTTCCCCCCATAAAGGTATCACAGTTGATTTTTCTTAAGATGTATTCTAAAGTCTATATTGCGATATGGCAGTATAAAATTGTGTATAGAATGAAAGAGGATTTAAGGCACCAGTGTACTCTGTCAAAACTGCTTGTTGGATGGTGAATAGCTTCAGAAACCCCTGCCCCTGTCCGACCATGTAACCGACATGTAACTTTCCTAAACCAATGGTTGAATAAACATTCACACTGTGATTAGTGAGCTGTGCGGAGATCAGTAAGTAAGCTGGTTTTGAAATGTTAACGTGACATGGTTAAACAACATGTTGTACAAATTAATTCTTCTCTAGCATAACCCCCGCCCTTACCCTCCTAAGATGTAGGCTGAATGTTGTTTATGTAACTTCAATGCTCTGCACATCTGAACCTGGCCTGTGTCCAACATCCTAGATGGTAAAAGCCCTAAAATCTTAGCCAAAAACACGTCATGAGTCCGATACAAGTTGATGTCTTGAAGTGAAACTGACACAAATCTTCCAACAGGTTCTGGTGCTGCGAGGCTCAGCTAGTTTTCAAACCTCTAGGTCTTTAGGTTGGACAGTGTAGGCATTTACTGATTCTTTAAGGGAATATATTTGTTGTCCTTTTGCATGATTGATTTCTTATTTGTATTTTTTTTAGGAACCAGCTGTGTAGGTCCAAGGTTTACTGCAGGACAGTGGGTGACAGACAGGGGGAGCTCCATGACCTGCTGGACAAACTGATGACTAAAACACAGAAACTGTCCGACTCCTCAGTTTGCCTCTACTACTTCAGGTACATACGTGCTGTTTAGTGACTACAATTAGATATATGATGTATAATAATGTCACAATGATATAATGTGATCATGATATGCAGTTGAAAGCTCTCTCTCTCTATATATATATATATATATATATATAAATGTACAGTATATATGAGAGAGAGATGGTTTTGAAAATGTTGTTACATGTGTGATATTTTGGCCAGTACTGTATTAAAGCACCCTACAAATACTTGGCAGAACAAGCTCAACTCAAGATCTACTTTCTTTCTTCTGTGCTCTCAGCTGTATCACATATACAGTATTTATGAGCAGATAGAGTTTGCTCATTTTCCATGATTCTGAGACATCTACATTGACTCAAAAGTCTGTTTACAAGGGTGAGAATGAAATATTGGGGCCCTAGGCCTATAGATAATTTGAGTCTCTTGTGAACAGGCCAATTGTGCATCTGGTATGTTGTATTTTGCTGATGTTTAACTGGTCTTGCAGTGCATCTCTGTACGTGGTGAAGGTGTTGCGAGGAGCTCCAACTGCTGACACCAAAGAGGAGCAAACAGCCGGCAAAGCTGCAGCAAATGACGTATGTTTACACACACTGATTAGCCATTACCTCTGATTTCAGGAAACTAGGCAGTAGTTAATGTTTTTAACGTAATGACACTGTTGTGCTGCCACAGATGGTCGCCAAGCATTTCTCCAACCTTACCCAAAACAAATGTCACACAGGTCAGGCCAAGCTTTCCTTTTATGGTCACACGGTTGGGCAGTAGATGAATGATAATTAAATATTTACGAGGAATGCAATTGATTCCGTTGCATTTTTCATCTGGAGCTTTGCACTACATAAGCTCCGGTCTGTTTCAAGAGGCAACCTCCGAGGCTTAAAAATGGGGTCACGCTAAGTGCTAAAAACTGCAGTTCCATGAAGCGTCTTCCTCTTCTTTTTGGTTTTATTTATCAGATATCTGTCTCCGAGATTTCTGCATCCACCCCAGGGCAATGTTTAGTTTGTGGATCAAGAAGAACAATTAACGAGATTAGGGTCAAAAACAGATTAACTAGGATGCTGGTTAGTTTGGTTTTGCACAATACCAGGACCCACGAAGTTGAAGTAGCTAAATGGAATTCAGCCATCACTGATTTTATTATTTGCACATGTGCTTATCCTACTCGGACGTGTTAAAATGCCTTCTGTAAAAGAAAGCCAGATATCTGATGTTGTTTGTTTGATCTTTCATTTTGTGTGTGTGTGTGTGTGTGTGTGTCTGCAGTTGAGGTTCATGGGCAACGTGGATGTGGATCGGGTCTCCGCCGTCTTCAGAGAGGCTCTCAGCTCTTTCATGAGTAAGAGGAAGAGCCCTCTGACCGCTCAGATGTTCACAGACTTGTTCAACAGATTCCCTGTGAGTACAGCTCCACCTTCTAATTACAGAGTACAGAAGTTAACTCAGGTCACTATGTAGAACAGAAGCCTTGTCTCCACTGGCAGTAACTAATGCAGCGTGTGTGTTATTTCCAGGTTTTGTGTGTGAACCTGTTGGATGCTGCAGTGCAGCACATCACATCTGGGATCAGAGTACACCAACAGGTAATGACCATTTTCACCTGCAGGAACAGTTATGTAGCAGAATTCCTGACTGACAAATGAGAGAGAAATAAGAGGATGAAATAAAACGTTATTTGCTAATTGATGGAATATCAATACCTAATAAATAACTGGGGGAAAAAGAATCATCACTACTTTGGACGAAGGCGTCTCTTACCTCAACCATCAAAGTTGCAAAAGTGTAAATTAATGAATGACAACACAGTGGGGGCTGTGTTGTTGCCTGCAAATGTAATGTCTCAAATAAATTTGTTATTTTAAATCCTTTATTGGGGACATCAGTTGCTGATGTAGTCCATGAGTTTGGATCCTTTGGCTCCTTAGTTACTGGGACCATATCACGTCTGCTACATGTATTATTATCTTGATTTATCAAAAGGTCTTTTCTAAAAGATTTAAAAGATTTTCACCCTGTCAGTTACTGAAGAGGCTTTTGATATATGGTAAAAATGTGAGACATATATGATATTATTTACTGGCCAATCCTCTATATACTCTAATATTGATATTTCTCTGCATGTAGGTGTCATTTACACCACTTTTTGAAATGGCTGATTTTGTCCCCACCACTTTTTTAAAGCATAATTTGTTAAAAAATGTGTGTTAAAAAATGTGTGGCTTGCACTTTAAATAAAAAATTAAAATGGTTTTAGAAAGGTTTATTTGCACATAGAGAAATGAAATGCAATAAATATAGAAGAAACAAATGTGCATTGTCCAAATAAAGTAATCTAAGCTTAAAAAAAAAAAAGCTACTGATTATAAAATGACCCAAAAACGTGCATGCACCAATCAGTAAGTTTCACAACTTCAGTTTCTTTTTGGCCAAGTTTTCCGTTCTCTCTCTGTGAACATGACAAAAGAGGAATGAAGACTAAATAATGCCTACATTGCGTTGCCTCAGTAGGGATTTTTCATGAGAAAAGTTGATCTACAGGAGAAACAGATCTGAAAGCAACACAGAATGCCTGAGAGCTGCACTGACTTAGATTCTATTATATTTATATATTTTGAAATGTAACGAGCTACCTGAATTTTGTATTTCCTTTTACATAAATAAAAACATTTCCACCATAAATTGTTGCAGAAACTTTCACCAGAATGCAGGAAATGTCTGTCAATTGTTAAAAAAGTGTTTAACAATTTCCTGGGGGAGATCCCCCCTAGACCTCCCGCTCATATATCGCGCCTTTGAGGATATCTAGGAGAACACCGTCTTTTTCTCGCCATTGTTTTTTTGATAAGCTAAAATCATCGGAATGGGTCTGGCCAAATCAAACGTCAGTAAACAATTTTTTAATCCTCTACTTAAACTTAATCTCCACAGCGGCTGAGTCCTATGAAGTTGTCTGTTGCAGTATTTCTCAACGTGTGTGTGTGTGTGTGTGTGTGTGTGTGTGTGTCTTTAGGGCCAAGCATGTGTGCTGGTGTTGCGGGCGATGCAGAGCAGGGAGGTTCAGCAGCTGCTGAGTGGTGCTAGGTGGACGGAGCTCTGTGTGAAGGTCACAGGTCAGCTGGCAGCGGTAAGTCAACGCAGTCTACACAGTCTCAGGATACTTCACAGGGTTAACACTTAAGCTGCGTTTTGACCAAAGGAACTATACCCCGGAACTAGGAACCTTTGGAGGAACTCACTGCGTTTCCACCGGGGGGACCAGGGTCTAAAATTAGTTCTAGAGTCTTTATTTTACCCCCCAAAATGTAGAAACGACACTGTGTAGTAAAAGAACATGAACATATTACAATGGCTTTGTAGATTATGGAAGTTATTAAAAATGTGATAAATGTCATGGAATGTTTCATTAAGGCCACTGTGCCCATTTTTCAGCTCATTGTTTGAGACAGATATTTAACTAGTTACTGGAGAGACCATAAACAGAGCTAAAAGGACAGTGAATGTTATACTTAACATTCATCATATGGACGGAAACACAACTCCAAATGTTGCTCTCTGTCTGGATGTGTGAATAGACAACTGTTTGCTAACAAGTTAGTAACTTCATAAAGTGATAAGATGTCAGATGCAATGTTTGTAGATAGCTTTCTGTCTGCAAATGTCCCAAATATCAATTCATGCCTTATTCAGGGTGTTTTGGCTATATAGTGTATGTGTGGGCACCAGAACATTACACTCATGATTGTTGGGAGGGATGCACTGGTCTGTGTTTTCTCCACCAGTACCGTTTCCTGCTGATACAAAGTACCAGTGCTCTCTTTCCCCCCAATTTAAATTCTGTAAACATCTCTGTGTGGAACTGATTAAAGTCATTTTTCTATGTGCAAGAAAGCATGAGGCAATAACTGCACATCAGTTCTTCACTGTAGGTGGAGACGTTCATTCATAAACATGCTTTAGGCTTGTGCAAATTTTAATTGTGTTATTCTAGAGGGTTTATGAAATTGCATTGTGTTGTGATGAACGATGATTAGAGGCAATACTGCACTCGCTGTCCTCTGTGTGTCTTCAGGACAGCTGAGGGTAAAGACATGCATAATTACATGCTTCTGCAATTCTTCACCAAACCACCTCACATTCACGTTGGCCCATCTTTTTCCTCATAGACACAAATGGACCTGCCCAACAGCACAACTCCTCTGTATGGTTTTTTAACTCCAGTTGCCAAAGATCAGTCGTTAATAAGATAACATTAGTCCTCCTTTTCTGAGCTGCTCTGTTATAGAAACAGTGCATGCAGTGTTTCAAAATGACTAAATCTGCCGGTGTAGCTGAAAATTACTGAAATGTTAATGGAGAATTGCTGTTAAATCATCTGTTGAATAACTCAAAAGGGGCATTACTGAAGATGATTCAGACTGTCTAGTTGTAAAGATTAGAAGACCTTGGGGTTTCTCACTTTCTTGATATATGTTTGGTTTAAACTGGTTCTGATTAGATTTCTATTTTAGAAGAAGACAAGATGGCTAAGAAGAACCATAAATGCCTTTTATGACCTTGTTGGCATGGTAGCTTGGTTATAACTAGGCTTGGGGATTGGTTAGCTGACTCTATGCAGCCTCTGATGTTTCCTAAATACATAAATTTAAGACAAGAGAGATGGACCAGAGACTGTTTCTTTATTCATCAGCAGGGCAACACTTTAAGTATTTAACATTCATAAATAGGTCTAAGCAGATATTAAAGTTGATTAATGTATTTGTCAACAACTATTACTCCTCATGCAGGCAACTTAAAGTAGAGGTTGGTATATAAACAGATAATGACTGACAATATAAGAAAATACAGTTGTATCAATATAAAATATGTCTTCATAGGATAAATAATAATTGATGACAAGTGCTGTTCATTAAAGCTAGGGTAAGCAATTTGTTTCAGAAGCATTTTTTGTATTTTTTGAAATTCTCTTTACAGCGTGACAGCAATCAATAAATCAAATGCTCTGACAGTAAAATGAAAACAATCTTCCATCGGTGGCTGTTGCAGGACTATAATAAGCATGGCGAATCATTTTGTTCAGTTTGAATGGAATGACGTGCCGGCATACCCGTCTCAATTTTTGGTAACATTGGTGGACCAGGAGTGTCCCTAGTAAAAACATAATCAGTCAAACTCTATGATGTCTGTCAAATCAGATGTGGATGGTGATGACTGGATCAGCTGACGATAAGGCCAACATGGATAGCAGTCTAACCTCCATGTCCTTTTCTTTCAGAGTCTTCAGCAGGTCGGTCAAACTGAGAGCAAGGTGGTGAAGGAGAAGGTGGTGAAAACCCTGGAGCTCTGTCAGTTCCTGGTCAAGCATGTTAACCAGCAGGTAGGTTGGCTATTGACTGTGAGGATGAAATCACGAGAGGGAACTGTTAATGTGGATTCAGTCCTGACTGAAGTGTCTGCTTCCGTTGCCTGTGCTCTGTAGAAACTCTCCGTGGACCTGGAGCCCCTTCAGAGGGTCCTGCAGTCCCTGCCCAGCATCATCACCTTCAACAAGACCGGCAAGCTAGAGGACACCTACTGGGCTGTGATGAAACACTTTGGAGTCATGTGAGTTATTTTAGCGTCTGTGTGTGTGCACGTGTGTGTGTGTGTGTGTGTGTGTGTTTGCATGCACATTAGAAACAAGGTTAGCAGAGAAATCAGATTACGCAATAGTATGGTTCAATTAATTTTGTTGGTAAACATGAATGTAAAGATATTACATGTCATGCACGGGTTTAAGGACTTCAAAGACAATACATGAAACAACGACAAAGAGACTATTGCAGAAAATATTATTCACTCCACAGGCCACTGACGAAGGGGCTCGGTCTGAAACGTTTGTGCATTAAATCCTATTTCTCGCATTAGTCGTGGTGTGGTCTAGTTGTTGTCTGTGTGTGTGTTGGAGCATTTTGACTAGAGGTGCAGTTACAGGACAGGCTCTGTAATGAGGGCACAGTTTTTCTAGTGTGTGAATTAGTTTTAGGTGTCAGGTTTAGTTTTAGTCAGAGTTTGAATTAGTCATGGATGAATATCTGTGTAATGTTTTTTCCCCCGTTTATAGTCTTTGTCATGCACATGCATACATGTAAAAAGCAGATTAGTCACACATATACATGACCAAGAAATAATCCAATTATAATCTAATTCCCTACCCTGATCACTAAAACCAAGGTTAATGTCGACAGTAAAGCAGTTAAATTAATGTAACTCAGCCATCACCACCAGCATATCCTCCTTGTATGGAAGCAGTAGTTTTCTCCACAATTTTAATGCTGGCAGTAGAGTTAACACAATAGTACCAAACTCGCGCAACGTAGACTTCTTTATTTATTTTTTTTGTGCGTTTTTAAAGTAGTGTACTGTGTGATATAAATGACTTGTAATATCAAATGGCAAGTGCTTAGTCATTCTGTGGCGGTATTGTTCTGAGGTTTAAACCTTGTAACCTTGAAATGTGAGCTAAAAAGATTTGAAAGCCCACAGATAAAAAGAATATTGCATTTGTGCCCTTTTGATTTTAGTGTGCTTCTCAACACCACTGACTGAAGGACACTTAAACAATTACAGAGATATTTTCTTTATTACACCACAAGCTGTTCTGGAAACTGAAATTTTAAAGTTCAGCTCATTAGCTTAACAGAGATTTAATCTGATTCATGATTTAGTTTTGGTGATTTAATTCACAACAAATTATTTTTATTTGTTGATTTTTTTATGAATCTTAATTTGGTTTACTGTTTTAACTGTTAAACTAAATAATACAACCAATAATCAAACAACTTCATTATTATTATATATGAATATATAGTTATTTTATTTAGAATTTCTGAATTAAGACATTAAATGAATTTGCTGTGATGCCTCTGATCAATCACTTGAATCAGCTCTTCAACCAGCATTGCTTTTTGTTTGTGTATTTTTTGGACAGTGTATTATTGAAGCTATTGTGTTGAACTTGCATGTGTTCACATTCACAGGAAACCCAAAGTTGAAAAGACAAAGCCTGACATGGAGGCCAATCAACAGCAAGTTCCCAAGAAGAAGAAAGGTTTTCTACCAGAAACAAAAAAACGTAAAAAGCGCAATAAACCTGTTTTAGAGCCAGCAGGAGGCAATTCGACCTCCACAGCCAGACCGGGAGCAGAAAAAAGACAAGCCAAAAAGAAAAATGACAACAAAACAAAACAGAAACGACCAGCCAATGGCGCAGCAGCTTCTCAGCCCAACCCAGCCAAGAAGAGCAAGACACAGTCTGTAAGCAAGCCAGCCAAGAAGAAGAACAAGAAACCCAAACAGAAGAAAGAGGGAGGAGGGCAAATGTAAAGTGGACATTTAAATGTTAATTTTCTTTTAAGAGGCTGTTTTCATCTGTTAATTTTTCTACTGTTCATGCAGTTTACTTTGGACAATATGTTGGTATGTTTCAATATGAGTTTCATAGAAAACATTAAATGTTGGAAAGTGAATTAATTTTTGTAATGTGTGACTGCGATTGATTAGAAAAAAATGTCTACAATAATAAATGAAATACATCTCAGCTGTGTTTCCAAAAATGTAAAATAACTAGAAAGAATAAGATTACCTAGTCACATGTGTATCTAACCAACAGACAAAATATGAATATACAGTGAGGAAAATAAGTATTTGAACACCCTGCTATTTTGCAAGTTCTCCCACTTAGAAATCATGGAGGGGTCTGAAATTGTCATCGTAGGTGCATGTTCACAGTGAGAGACATAATCTAAAACAAAAAAAAAATCCAGAAATCACAATGTATGATTTTTTAACTATTTATTTGTATGATACAGCTGCAAATAAGTATTTGAACACCTGTCTATCAGCTAGAATTCTGACTCTCAAAGACCTGTTAGTCTGCCTTCAAAATGTCCACCTCCACTCCATTTATTATCCTAAATTAGATGCACCAGTTTGAGGTCGTTAGCTGCATAAAGACCCACCCCATACAATCAGTAAAAATCCAACTACTAACATGGCCAAGACCAAAGAACTGTCCAAAGACACTAGAGACAAGACATTGTACACCTCCCCAAGGCTGGAGAGGGCTATGGGGAAATTGCCAAGCAGCTTGGTGAAAAAAGGTCCACTGTTGGAGCAATCATTAGAAAATGGAAGAAGCTAAACATGACTGTCAATCTCCCTTGGACTGGGGCTCCATGCAAGATCTCACCTCGTGGGGTCTCAGTGATCCTAAGAAAGGTGAGAAATCAGCCCAGAACTACACGGGAGGAGCCGGTCAATGACCTGAAAAGAGCTGGGACCACCGTTTCCAAGGTTACTGTTGGTAATACACTAAGACGTCATGGTTTGAAATCATGCATGGCACGGAAGGTTCTCCTCCTTAAACCAGCACATGTCAAGGCCCGTCTTCAGTTTGCCAATGACCATTTGGATGATCCAGAGGAGTCATGGGAGAAAGTCATGTGGTCAGATGAGACCAAAATAGAACTTTTTGGTCATAATTCCACTAACCGTGTTTGGAGGAAGAAGGATGATGAGTACCATCCCAAGAACACCATCCCTACTGTGAAGCATGGGGGTGGTAGCATCATGCTTTGGGGGTGTTTTTCTGCACATGGGACAGGGCGACTGCACTGTATTAAGGAGAGGATGACCGGGGCCATGTATTGCGAGATTTTGGGGAACAACCTCCTTCCCTCAGTTAGAGCATTGAAGATGGGTCGAGGCCGGGTCTTCCAACATGACAATGACCCGAAGCACACAGCCAGGATAACCAAGGAGTGGCTCTGTAAGAAGCATATCAAGGTTCTGGCGTGGCCTAGCCAGTCTCCAGACCTAAACCCAATAGAGAATCTTTGGAGGGAGCTCAAACTCCGTGTTTCTCAGCGACAGCCAGAAACCTGACTGATCTAGAGAAGATCTGTGTGGAGGAGTGGGCCAAAATCCCTCCTGCAGTGTGTGCAAACCTGGTGGAAAACTACAGGAAACGTTTGACCTCTGTAATTGCAAACAAAGGCTACTGTACCAAATATTAACATTGATTTTCTCAGGTGTTCAAATACTTATTTGCAGCTGTATCATACAAATAGTTTAAAAAATCATACATTGTGATTTCTGGATTTTCTTTTTTAGATTATGTCTCTCACAGTGGACATGCACCTACGATGACAATTTCAGACCCCTCCATGATTTCTAAGTGGGAGAACTTGCAAAATAGCAGGGTGTTCAAATACTTATTTTCCTCACTGTATATGTGTGACAAGTAGGATTGAAAAGTATTTGATATTTCTGCAGTGAATATGATGGTCTCATAATATTGAAGTCCATTTTCAAAGCCAGGATTTGAAATAAAAACTTGTGTGTGTGTGTGTGTGTGTGTGTGTGTATATGTGTGTATGTATATATATATATATATATATATATATGTGTGTGTGTGTGTGTGTATATATATATATATATATGTCTAAAAATACCAGAATCAATCTGCAGGTTGTTTAAACTCCCAAATGCCCAGGAAAAATACCAAAGGACATGTGTTTTCAGGAGTAGCTACTAGTGTTGTAACCAAGACCCCCCAACCAAGACCAGAGATCTTGATCTTGTTTTTGATGAAAAAGCTCACTCTCAATTGCCCTGTGCTTTCAAAGACAAATCTGCTGCTGTCATTGATGATAATGATTGCACTCCCTTTAGGTTTCATTAGCATTTTGCTAAAAAGTGGTTTGCAAGTAATGTTTCACCTTGGCTCTCTATAGCGCTCGGCCTCTTGGTGGCAGCAGTAAGAGGTGAACACGGCATTGACATATCAATACCTTTTTAAATTGATATGGCAAATTTGTTGGCAAACAGTTGCTTAGTTACACATCCAGCAGATACAGAGCAACATTGTCATTCATTTGTAGTAGTGTTTCCATCCACCAGATGAATTTAAGCCCAATATTCATCTCTCTTAGCTCTGTTTGTGGTCTCTAACGTCTGAGAATGTCGTGACTCTTTAGCAGCCTTTCTTTAGAGATCTTTAGAGCTTTTCTATTTATAATGCTGCCTCCTGCAGCCTGAAACGACACCACAAGGGCAGTGAGAGTGAATCAAAACAATAAAGTTGCAGCTGTTGAGCTAAACAATGAGCTGAATCTCTATAAAGCTCAATAAAGCAGAGAGGAGCTGCAGATTCAGGTGATTATTCTCTGTAGGTTCATCACTCACCACTTTCACATTATTTTCACATTGTCATTTGATACAGTGTTATAAAAATATTGATTATAGCTGCGCTAACTAGACATCAAGGATCGTGTGAAAGTGTTAAATTCATAAGCTCTATGGCACAGAGAAACAAGCTATTTTGGGCTTTGGCTACACATTTAGGACCAATTCATTGTTGGTTTTAACGTTTTACCACGTTATTGTTGACAATAAAACATATAAAGAATATAGTGAGATGTCTCCTTTAAGTGAGAATCTGTTTTGTTTTGGGATTTTGTAATTGAGTTCACCGACCAAAATCTTGTTTCTAGGCCTGCCAAGGTTATTCATTGCTACGACTGAACGTAAGAACCATTACGGAAAGATCTGTGTCAGAATTGGCTTTTCTGTGTCACATGTATTGACTGAATTGTAACTCCATTGCATAACATTCTTATTAGGAAAAATGTCACTAGCCTATGCACAGGATTCGATGTTGCAAGCCTTTGTGCTATAAACTATGGTGAGCAATCTCACATAACCCTATTCCAGCTGTCAGAAAAATGATGTAGTGTCCCACAAATGGATTACTATACAGGACATCAAGCCATGCTACCGTAAATCTATAGAAGTGCCAGGCAGGCAGCAGACTCATCCATCAGTTATTGTATCTTAAAGCTCCTCTCCACTGCAGAAACCTTCAGTGGTGGGATTCAACAGGAGCCATCTTACATCCAACAAACATGATGTGTTGTTTGGCCTTGTGCATTCAGTACATAGTGCTGTGATGTTTGGGATCCTGATGACACAGAAGACCCAATATTAAGACGAAGAGGTGTTTAACCAGGAAAAATGAGTGAAAGGGAACCAGGAGGTGAGTTTGTTTAGGGCAGATAAGAAGGCCTGTCTCTATGGTTGTGTATTTGTCTGAGTCAAGTCAAGCCAAGTCGAATAGATATTTGAATCAGTAGAAAAAAGGAACAGACCTGTCTCAAATAAATAAAATGTGAATCTGTACTCAAAGTTTTAATATATATAATATAGTTTGATATATTAACAACGGATCATATGACTACTTGTATGTGAAAGTCATTCATAGTGATGAACCCAGAGAGAATTACCCCCCAACTGCATGGAGTCTCACTACTCTCTTCAACCTAATTCCAGCAGCAGACAGCTGTTTTGAGCAAAAAAGCAATGATTGATCTATACTGTACACTCCATGCCCAACACCAAACAGCAGACAAACAATGTTACTGACTATCTGGTTAACGTAGAGGAGCTTTTAGCAGTTACAAAGCCAGATATTTCACTCAGGAGTTGGTGGAGACCAAAAACAGAGCTACTAGGAGAGTGAATATTAGACTTATTCATTGGGTGGCCCTTAACATTACCCCAAACAAATACTAATGATGCTTCAGATTTACTGGATGTTTAAATAAACTGTTTGCCAACAAGTTTACTTTCGAAACCGTTTATGGTGATAATATGTCTGTATTGTGTTTTCACCCCAAGGTAGGTAAAAAATCAGTTCTTGCAAAGGCGAATTGGTTTAAATTAATGTTTAGGTCTTAGATCAACTTGCTGGATCCGAATGGATGATATCAAATGATCTTGGTGATCCCTGCAACCTTTCGTATGGCATTGCCATGGTTTAAGATTCGACTAGCACAAAATAAATATCAAACCCTAACTGGCAGTTTGCCGTGAAATTTACTGAGCACATTATTGCTTAACAGATGATGAATCATTCATGTATTACAAAGCCCATGAGCTTTTCTTCCACCAAAATCTTAACTTTGTACAAGAAACATTTATGAAGGTCAGGGTAGGTCATTAACATCTGACAGCAAATACCAACAAAGTCCTAAGGATTCTTCTTCTGGGATCCACAAAGTTCCATCTTAAGGCATCTGATAGGAGCTGAGGTTTTCAGTCTGGATCAAAGTGATAATCTGACCAACATACAGACAGACATTACCATCCCAAGAGCCAGCTAAATATACTGAGCAATAAAGCAATGTTTTATTTCTGTCACATTCATACATTTAATAAACTCCTGTTGTCCCAATTTTAGTTACCCTATAACTCATATTTAAATCACCAAGTTCCTCTAAAACTACTGCATCTCTCAGTGATGTGCATGAATAGCTGTGTCAATAATGGTTCCAGTCAAAATGTGGTCTATATGAATGACAGGAGCATGAGGGCAGAACAGATGGTAGAACTAAGGATCATCAAGTTTAAAAGTAAAGCTTTCACAATAGAAAAATGATTTAAAACTTTAACATAAGGCTGATCTGTTACTCCTTCTTTGGCCTACAGAGCAGTGGGGTCCCGGTCCTGTACCTTCGATGTCACAGTTTGAACCTGCAGTAATGAAACATATAAACAGACACTGGTGGTGAGAAATCACTCACCTCAAACCTTGACAGCAGGGGTGAGAATAGGAGCAGTGGTGTTCTCTTTTTCTGACAGTGAACTGTCACTTTGTCATCACTCTGTGTTGAGATATAGAGCGCAGAACCAATCTTCTAATGCAGCTCAGTGGAATAATAAGAGTGAGCTGTAAAGTCGAGGACAAAGCCTCATCAATATGATAAATCTGTAACTGAATGCATGTCTGATTCGTCCCTTCACCTTGTGAAATATTTTAAATCCGATTGATTAATGCAGTAAAACTGTGATTTTTTTCCAATCTTTGATGCAGTGCACTGTGGAGTAGTTTTCCATCTTTACCCATGTTGCTTTTGTTAAATTGTGGCCCTTCCCAGTCTGATGGTCCACATCAGGCAGGTTGGCAGGCTGCTGGCAGGGTGTTAGTCTTATACTGAGTGTAAGCGGAAACCCATTAATTAGTGCACCCAGTAGTTTACTTGCCAGGCCTTGTAAAAAACAACCTGAATTGAGTTTACTACTTCTTGGAGAAGGCCCACTTCACACAATTTGATCTCCTGTGCAAAAAATCTTCCCCTTCCTTTAGTAATAATTTAACAGACCATAGCCATTTTCTTCCATGTTTCTTTTTGCTGTCTACAAAACACATACTGCATATTTTATAATAATTCGGACCAATTTTCAAAGCAAGCAAGAAGAACAAGTCTGTGTGTGTTCAACAAAGAGACTGTAGAACTGAGAGATGAACCACACCAAGGATTGCAGACTGAAGATTCAACCATCTGCAGTTCGTATTTCCGAGAAATGAAAGAAAAGCAGTGGTTGTCTGGAGGACTGAAAAAAACACACTCAAAGGAGAGAAAATGTGGAAAAATGTGAAGACTGCGTGTTCACTAGATTAGATTCAAAACTGATTTTAGAACTGAGACAATCCAAACCATTTTTCAAAAACCGAGAACAAGTTTAAATAAAATGTAAAAGCCCTCAAAGACTTTCAGTGCATTGATTAGAGCCTTACCAATAGTGGTAAGGCAGACGTGTGTCCTGGGGGTGGTACTAGGGGAGAGGCCTTTTTCACTTGAGAGCACAATGCTCACCAAATTTTACATCAAATCTTCCTAACAGATTATGTGGTCCTAGTTAAAATTTTTTAATATGTACTACCTGAAGACCAGTTGCCTAAGGTGACACACACATTACACACAACCATAATATTGCTATAATAAACAGCCTCAGAGGACCTAATCCACTCATTGGCCAACCAACGTCCCTTTTAAAGTCTATCTGCAGCACTGAGGAGCAGACCCCCTGGGGCAACAATACCCTGAAAACTGGCCTCATTAATTCTAAATTAGGCTATACACAATAACTAGGCTATTCCCAGAGCAAACTTATATCACACAAATGTTTCATCCACTGCCTCTTTCTAATGCAGCTCTATATGTGTGACATTAAATAACAGTAGTCCCAGTTCACCGATCCCTAACTAAAAACATCATCTTATCAATTCCTAGCTACTGACTTCTGATCTCAGAATCAGAATCAACTTTATTGCCTAGTAAGTTTACACATAAAAGGAATTTGCTTGGTTGTTTTGGTGCTTGACAATGAACATACTAGGTAGAAAAATATAAGATATATGAAATATCTCCATCCATACCCAGCCATTGGCCTTCAGTGAATTCTAGCCACTGAAACTCATCCATTGTGACCCACCGCCACTGACCTCCTTCCATTCCTCCATCCATTCCTCCATCCATTCCTAGCCCCTGACCTTCATCTGTTCCTAGCCACTTAACGCCTTCCATCCTTAGCGTCGTAGTGCCGCTGATCTGCATCCATTCCTCGATCCATTCCTAGCCCCTTAACTACATTTATTCCTAGCCATTGTCTTCCATCCATTTCTAGCCACTTACCTTCTTCCATCCCCAGTGACTTAGCTCCACTGATCTGCACCCATTCCTCTATCCATTCCTAGACCCTTAACTTCATTTATTTCTAGCCATTGTCTTCCATCATTTCTAGCCACTTACCTTCTTCCATCCCCAGTGACTTAGCTCCACTGATCTGCATCCATTCATCCATCAATTTCCAGTCCCTGACCTTCATTTATTCCTAGCAGCTGACTTCCATTCATTTCTAGTCCCTGACCTTCATTTATTCCTAGCCACTTCACTCTTTCCATTCTTAGCGACATAGTGCCACTGATCTGCATCCATTCCTCCATCCATTCCTCGCCACTGACATCAATAAATTTTTAGCCACTGATTGTCATCCATTCCCAGCCACTGACCTCCTTCCATGCCTAGCTACTGAGAACCACTGATCCCCTCCTCTCCTAGCCATTGACCTCCACTCATCCATCTCTATCTGTCAACATCCATGTATTCACCATTGTCCTTCATCCTTCCCTGGTTAGTCGCATCCATTCTTTGCCACTGACAGCCAGCCATCTTCATCCCTAATCCCACTTTACCGGCAAGATGAACAATAAAATTGAACTCTACCTTTAGCAGACAGTGTCTCACAGTTAGGTCAAACGATTAGATGCGTATTTCTTTAGGAAGTTTGGTGGGCCAAAGTATTGGAATTATATCTGGTTATGCCTACCACAAACTGTACCTGCTCTCAGTAGCTTTTAATTGCAGAGTGCTGTTCCATTAAATCCCATTATTTGTTATCTGTTTACGCTGAAAACATGTATGATGTTGTGGATCCTAATCTATAAATTGTTCTGAAGGAAACATATGTTTGAATGTAGAATGCATTAGTCATCTCTCATTGACTTACTTCCAATTTCCCTGTGAAGATAAATGGTTTCATTCTGTTGCACTTATGCCAAAGAGATAAGATAGACTGGCAGTCTGTCATTGCATCTTACAGGACTGGAGCTTTGCCAAAGACTGCTTCATATTCCCAGGCCTTTCTTGCTGGGGGACAATTAGGAACATGGTGTCCTGGTACCTGGCCAACACACTGACTGATGCTGATTCACTTCTACTGACCTCCAATAAGACAGGCTGTGGCGCCATTACAGGGAGATGTTGAGATTAAGAATGGCACTTATGGATAACCTTCATGTCAAAAAATCACATTAAAAGATTTATGGGGTCTACACAGGAGACTTTGTACTATGTGCAGTGGATCTGATTCTGTATTCCACGTGGTTCTGCAGTATATATATTTGACAAGGTCCTATTACCATAGAAATTGTGTAAGCAGAGACATGACATTGGGAGCTATAAGTGTCCCTATGCAGGAGACCCTGTGCAAATTCTACAGATCTCCCTTAGAAAGGTCACTTGTAGTTGTTTAGTGGAATGGGTGACGTAATGATAGTCCATTTAAACATTTGCTTATTTTCAAATGGCGTCTCTACTACAGTATATTTGGGGTGAATGGTGGGATTTTTACTCTATATTTTTTACACACAGTGTTCAGTACTGTGTAGTTGCATATTTCCCTGAGTAGTAGCATTCCAGTTTGTTAGATAATCGTCAACAGGCTTCAAGGTTACTGACACATTCAAAGGATTAACATAACATAAGTATTTATTTATAAACTTTGAATATTACATATTTTTCCTTTGATAAGGCAGATTATATGAACTCCAGAAAGATGATGTTACTGTAAAACATTCCAGCTCTCATAATGGCATACATTTACAGTGAATTCATTTAATAAATGACACATACTTTCTATAGGCCCACTATGATACAATATGAAGGGTCAAAAAAAAAGACTGGCTGAACTGAAACCCTCTCTTGGAAGGATCCTCAATTTATTACATATCAGAGAATAGATTATAAATACTTAAAAATTAAAACACTGTATAAGCGCTAAAACTTACTATCTGACACATTAAAAAAACATCTTATGTGCATAACTACAGCAAAAGTCTTGCATACTGTCAGGCTAACTAGAGCTACCTACAGATGTCTAACAGACATTGGAGGACAGTACTCAATGCAAATATGCTAAGTCACTTAATTCAAGGAAAAAATACTACGCATACAAATAAGCCATTTCTACAGCCTATATGCAGCTTTGCACTGCCTAACAGCACCACAACATCCATTATAGTCTACAACTACATACTGGTAGTGTGTCAGAGGACATGCCAAGGAAGATCAGCGAGCCATTAAGGTCTGTGTTGTGTCACCAGCTCTTAATAATTGAACACAACCGTGTGTTACATGTCACAGGGAGGATATAAAGTTTAAACATATTTGAGGTTTAAACGATATTTTAGGCTGGGGAAGAGAGGAGGAGGTCCAAAAGTCAAAGCAGGCAAATACTTTATACAGTTCCTTAAGGAATACTGCTACTAGTGTATTAGCAAGGTGAGTGGCCATAGCTAACCTATGTGCCACTGTGGTGTTACCTCTAGGCCTACTATTCCTACTGTTTCTAAGTAATCTACAAGCAGCAGAGATGGGTGTGGGAGTCCTTTGTGCCTTATTGCTTTTCCTGTTTATTCCACAGTCTCATTCCCTGAAGTTGCACTAAGTTAACAGTCAAGGGGAACTGTCTCGTGCAGCGCCTGGTTGTCCCCCGCCGCTTCGGTGGCGTCCCCGCACGACAGCTTCTCCCCGCATCTCACCGGCCGGACGATGACGCACGGCCTCACAGGCTCCCCGCTCGCCCCGGCGCGCGCGGGGCTGCGACGGTCGCGCTCGTATTCCTCCTGCGCGCGCTGGATCTTCCTGTTCCGGAGCTTCCTCTTGTGGAAGTGGAACGTTGCCAGGGAAACGAGGACGATCCCCACGAGCACGGCCACCAGCACGAGGAGCGCGAGGGTGGAGGAGAACGGCGGAAAGATGCTGAGCTGCTCCACGCAGGTGCCGTTATTGGCCTGGAGAACCCCGTGACAGCGGTGCAGCGGCACCGACAGCCCCGAGGCCTCAGAGGTTCTGGTTGTCATCCGGTCCACCTTTTCCCGGCCACTCTTGTCACTCTGACCCCCTGAAGCCTACCCTTCGTGCTCTCCGGGCTCAGCGCGGTGACACCGGACCGCGCATGTGGTTACCTGCACCGAAAAGAAGACACTATGAGACCCGCTCATCCAGCTTCAGAGGAGACTGCCAATTAGAACAATCAGAAACACGCCCACCAGCACTCATTAACTGGCCCGGGCTACATTAATTATACCATTCTGAAACAATTAGCCTAACATTGGGAGTGTGCACCATTTTACACTAAATCACAACCTGACGACCCTTAATAGCGCATATACTGATGATCAGTTTGTATAAATGTAAGAAGTCGGGAAAATCTATTGTAATGTGCAGGCCTCCAAGATTTAGCCAAACATAATCCATCCTTTCCCGCACTCCACGCAGCAGAATATCCGAAAATAATGTGTGGATTCCTTCAAATCTCAAGCCTTTATGTTTGAATAAAGGAAATTCTTACCTGATGAAATAGTCAGTGCGAGGAACAGTCCGTGAGTGGAGAGTCGATATGTGTAAATGGGAAAACTGGATCACGGTGACGCATTTCATGCAATGTGATGCTGCTGAGCTCCGATCACTGAGGACGCTTTGATTGCCGCAATCCGCTCGGTCTGCGTCCAGGAGAGCACTTCCCCCAGCTAAATACTATAAGTATGCATCTCAGTAGGTTTTAAAAATGCGATTAGAATAGAGCTGCGGTCTCGTTTTCCTAGAAATGCGTCCCTCCTCCGGTCATCCGCTGCTCCACTCAGCATCTGAATGAAGAGCTGCAGCTGCATTAAAGGTCCTGTATAGCCTACCAGTCAGCTGGCAAGGCTGTTTTTTTCTACCTTCAAATGTAGTCAATGTATCACCAACACCAGCGTGCTTAGGTTTCACTCTACACACTAATGAATGCTAATTAGTTCATACTTGATACAATGAATAAAACAGAGGAAAATTAGTTTTGATATCAGACACTGGTAGGTACCAACTGGCATTCCTGAGGGTGTGGTCCTTCAAATGCTGCAAATGACTTGAAGCATTTAAACCTTGAGGGCTGTAAATAATATCCAACTTCCATGCATTCATTAGGGCAACACTGGGTGTCAATTATAAACCTTTCCTTGAAAAAAGAACAGTTGGTAGAAAGCCATATGTTTAGAAATCATTCCTACACCCTTTCACAGGCATAATGGAATATGTACTTGGTAAACATCAATCTGTATTTATCACAAATGTACTCTATTGCTGAACATTGCTTGATGTTAATCAAACCATTCCATCACAACTGAATACCGCTACTGTTCCTCAAACACCCCTGAAAGCTGAATTTGACCAGTGGTTGAAGTGTGTCCTATAGGGCCAAACTGTCAAAATAATTTACTTCAACTTGATATAATTTTTGGCATTCATTTCATGTTATCTTCATATGGTAGCCTAAAATGGCCAGTCTTTCACAAAACATCAGCATTTATCGAACTCCCTTCAAAAAGTCCCAATTTCTAAAACGTCAGCCATGATGTTGGCCAGGCCAGCCATGGATTTTAAGTGGAACTTAAATCAACTGGACTGACAGTTGCCTTTGACTTTGTCCTTCCAGATACCCTATCACAACTGGCAATCTTCAAAGATATAGGACAGTCATGAAATGTTTTATATGAGAGGCTTAACAGAAGTGTAAAAGCTACTCTAGAATAATAGATTACATCTTTGCTTTTACCTTTGGTGAAGAGAGAAAATCATTTACAAAAAAGGTCACTTGAATTAAGTTTGAAAACCAGTAATTTAAACCACCACCAGATTGAGCTCAGCTCCTCCCTGACTGGAAGATTACTGCAGGCTGTGTGATGTGTACTCCAAATATAGAAGTGTGGGTGAAGGAGAACGCAGAGAGGAGATGTTTCTACAATGAGGCCACACCTTGACCTACCTTATAAGCATGTCACTGATACAACTTTCCCATGCGAAAAGTAGCTCATCCATTGTCTAAGTTATGTCTAGTTGAGGGGTGACAGCTACATAAAAATATTTACAAGTTCTGAAATTAATCTCAGAAATGTAAGTAATTTCAGAAATCAAATAAGCTCAAATTAGAATTAAAACATGTAACTTGCATCCTGTCTAAGACTGTGTTCAGACTGACGTTAGCCCTATGTGAAAAAAGCACAAGTAAGCAGTGAAATCCTTTCTTCTGATATTTATAAATTGCTGTGTAGTATTTTAGGGATCTGATAATATTTCAAACTCACAGATTTGTTACTTAAACTGGACTTCCAGGGTTGTATTCCATCATCATAGTGGTACCTTAAACAACAAGCCACCATAAATGTATTTCATGACAGTAAGGATCTCCTGTCACCTTTGGTGATTCATCCAGAAAGGCTTGAGGAAGTGCAAGGTATTGTATGCTCTGTAGTGCTCACCTCTTTGACACCTCCACCAGTGAGTCAAGCTGCACCTTCCCCCACAGGACAGAACGAGCCTTCCTGATGTTTATTCTGTTGGTGTCAGATGCTCTCAGTCTGCTGCCACAGCACATCACAGCGTAGAACAAGACACTGACCACCACCAAATGATCAGCTGTGTCAGACAGGAATGCCGATGTTGAACGATTATACAAAACCCCGGATTACGTTCAATACCAATGATTTTTTTATGTCCAATACCAACATGTTCAGAATTCTCACTTTCTACAATACCTGCACACAGAAGCTATAGCATTGTTAAGTAAGAAATATATTGTGTAAACTGTTGTTGAGGTATATTTAGGCTTAAGCAACCACAACAATAGATTGAAACCTGCAACAACTGATTTTTTTTTGTGCAGTATTTAACATATTATCACATTGTAAGCTGATATGGCGGACCTGTTAGTAAACACTAGCTTATTTACACATCCAGCAGTTACGGAGCAACATCAGCATTCATTTGGAGTTTCAGGTTCAACAGTTACTTTCTTTTAGCTACGTTTATGGTCTCTACCAACTCCTGAGGGAAATATCTGGCTCTTTAGCTACTAAATGCTCCACTACGTTCACCAGCTAGTTGGTAACTGTGTCTGTCTGGGATAGATAAGAGACACCATCATTACCTGAAATCTTAGCCTTAAATATTAAATCTGCTTTTTTTTTCTCAAAAAAGTTTATGAATATGTTTATATTTATGCATACTTATATGGGGAGATATGTAGTATTAACAGATAACAGATAAAAGCAAAGAGGAATGTTAAATCAAATAATAGCCTCTGTACTTTTCTGTATTCGTACCGCAAAGCGTATGAGATTCTCACAGTAATTTCCCAGTCCTACTTGTGCTCCATCACCAGAGGGGTTCTATGAAAAATGAATGGCCTTGGAGGGAGAGAGGTCCCCTGGATGATGAACTTATAGTAGATGAGTGCATATGAAAGATTCATACAACTATTCGTGCACGGTTTAAAGCATGGCATATGTTAGAGGGCTGTTAAATGAAGAATGATTATAGCACTTATTTTAATATTCATACAGGTTCCCTCAGCTGTCCAGGTCAATCTGACCCACATTAGACTGGGGACCTAACACCAGTCCATCTTCATCTTCAGCCAGAGCCTTTTGAGGCCCTGGAGGTCGATATAAACTCAAAAAGAAATTTAAAAAACAGGCTACAGAAAACGAAGAAAAGTAGCTGCATTTTCTGGTGAGTTTTGCAGCTGTGGCAGGTGTAGAAGCCTGTCTTTCAAGACTTTATACAGATTAAGCCACACAAAGTGTCATCAAAACACATCTAAAGGCAAAAGTCTTTATACCTGCCCACTTGGAGGTGGAGCAAAAAAATGGTGGTCTCCTCCTGGCTGCATCCCACTGCCTCCAAGAATTTGGTGCCTTTTGTGTGTCTTTGCAATCTTGACATGATGAATCATACAAATGGAGATTATGGTGCACACATTCAGACGGTTTCGAGTAGTTATGTGAAGGATGAAGAAACAGCTTGAGAGAGAAGTTTAAACGCTGTCCAATTTCACACTTCTGCACACTGCACCAAACAGCAGTTAGTTTATCAGTGCTTTTTCATCACCTGCTGAGGCTAGAAACGATGAGGCTGATGAGATGGGGAAACACAACGGTAAGATTGTGGGCTGTAAAATCAAAACAGTTAGCCAAAAAATGCTGAAACTCTCTGTGGAGCTTAGTGGGAACTACAGAGTTGAGTGAAAATCCTCAGTGAGATTAGTTTCTACAAGCAACAATTGCACATTACACATAGTTTTTTGACCGATTGTAAAGTAGCAGAAAATGAAAATACTATAAGTAAAGTACGAGTACCTCAAAATGTACAGCACTCAGTCAGTTTCCATCACTGTCAGTTTCATTATAAACCCATGCTATGACTGGAACAATTTTTCTCTTTCTTAATGACACCGTACATTATGTCTGCTTATTATTGAGCCATATTATTCTCTTGCTCTGCCAGGGCACTCTGACTGCAGCTTGTGTTAATCAGGATTATTAACTGTAATGAGAAAGATTTGTGGGTCTGAATGCTAAACACATATTGATGTACACGGTGCTGTTGACTCAGTGTGTGTGTGTGTGGGACGTCAATGGATCTTCATATGAAGGAGCTGATATCTTTAAAGCTGCAGGCCATCTCCAGGCAGGAACAATCCTCACGTATTCCTCACACCGCCCCTTGCACTTGCACTTTCTCTGTCAGCAGAATTTCTAATGAATTGCACAAAAGCCAGTTTACCATGCATGCACTCATGCGTGCGCACACACACACACACACACACAAACACAAACAGATACAGACCAACTTTCCTTTTGTGCACAACAGAAATGGCTTTAGGAAAGAATGAATGAGGCTCTCGCTCACGCAGAGAGGAAACGTCTTCCTCAAATTGATTTTTCGTCTTCCCTAATGACGACCCTGTCACCAAGCACTTGTGTGCGACAAAATGTGTGCATTTATCATATGAGGATTTTACATTTCTGCATTCAAAATGAACACATACAACCTCCCAGGTTTGTTCCTCTTGAAAATGCCCTTATTGGAAAGTGAAAGTGGAGGCAGAGTCAGGAAACATGTTGAGAAAGTAAAGGTTATGACATGCTACAAAGGTCACAAGCCTAACCTGAACCACAGCTATTTCATTAGCCACAAGGCGACCAGGACACCTGTCTGTAGAGATTGAATAAATATAAGAGAAAAGATACATGTTTAAGTCTCCCATGTCTTCTTTTCCCTAAGAGGGGATCTCTTCACAGCCAATGTGGACAGGAGAAATGATTATAGCCTCTAATAACTCTTTCAGCATACATATGGGCATGTTAGAATCATTTTAAAATAAACTTATGAACCAATCCTTTAAAATGTTGTTGACACTGTGCCTGAGAGGTGTTGATTGAACTCTTCTCCATGTCGAGGTCTCTCCAGCTAATTGGTTACACACACATTTCTCAGCACTGGATTCACTTTTTCGACACTCTTCACACAGTTTTCTAAACAAGCCCGAAGCTCCACAGTGCACTAATGCGACCAACACATTCAACTCACACTACCATAACTCCAATTACAAGAATACTCACTCATAACACAGTGACTAAAAACTAACAATGGTCTAAGACAAAGGTGTTTATAGCTGTACCAAATTGCCAATCTTGAAGGTGGGGCGGAAAGCATCTGGAGAGATGTGATAATTGTACAAATGGGCATAATGGGGCACATCATTTTTTTTCTATTTCATTTTGTATTTGGAAAATAATTTGCAACATAACTGTTTTCCCACCACATCACAATTTTACCATCTAACAACAAACACATAAAAAGTATAAATGGTGACATGTTTACCTGCAGGTTTCAAACTTGTTTTCTCTTAAAGCAAAAGTTTATTTTTTCCATCACAAAAATATCATGACGATGGG